GGCTCGGACAGCGACACGGAAGTCGGGACCAGCAGCCGAACTGAGTCTTCCAATCACCTCGTCGATTCGCATCTTTCGACCTCCGTAGCTGCGGCTGACGCGCGTGTTCACAGTAAATTTTTCCTTGCTTTTTTCTTCTCCAAAATTTTTTGCAATCCCTAACGGAGAAAAATGGACACGAAATTTAAAAAGAAATTACTAGTCTCTCCAAACGAAAATTTCTGGTTGCATTTCAATGAATTTTTTCCCCGGAAAGGAAAGAATATTCCCAGAAAGGAATTTTTATTTAAAAAAATTTGTTAATTTTATTTAAACCAAATATAATTTATTTGAGTTAAATAAAAGAATTTTTCAGTGTAATTCCCGCATTTTTTGCAAAAAATAAAATTCAAATTATTACACTGTCAGAATCTATAGGTAATTTTATCGTTTTCATTACTTTTATCATTCAGGGCCTGAGAATAATGAGAACATTAAATAGATACTATTATAATAATTGAATAACAATTCTCTTTTTTGTTTCTTTTTTTGGCTTGCACTTACAAAAGTTCCATTTTTCTCCACAATAGATTGCTAATATTTGTTTTTAAATTAGAAAAAAAAATTTTAATTAGAATTTAAAATTAATATTAATTAATATTAATTCATTTACAACTAATAAATAATAATTAAATTTTAATGATATCTTAATTTTCAATAATAAATAGAAGCGAAACATACTCTCTAAATTTAAATTAGTAAAAATGTTTACTAATTTAAATTAGTAACTAACTTTTTGCTTTTGAATTAGTAAAATTTACTGATAAATTAATAGAAGTTACTATTTAATTATTTATCAGTAAAATTTATTAATTCAATAGCAAAAAGTCAGTCACTAATTCAAATTAGTATGTAAATATTTTTACTAATTCAAATTTAGAGAGTAGTAAATACAGTTTCGAGATTCAAATTTTAAAAACATTTGACGGAAATATTTTGGGTAGAAAAAATTTCCTTTCAAATCTGGTTGCACATAAGTCAAGTAGATAAATATAAAAAATATTTAATAATTACTATAAATAATTATAGTACTCTCTAAATCCGAATTAGTTAAAAATAACTAATATTATTAATAAAATCGTGGCTGACATTTCGCTTCAGCAATTAATAAAAAATATGTAATTACTAGTAGATAATTACTAAGTATTAGTAAATAAATAACTACCAAAGTAGTTATTTATATTAATATTCATTAATTATTAATAATTAGTTATTAACTATTTCACTAGTAATACATTACTATATTTGAATCAGTGACTGACTTTAATTTAACTAATTCAAATTTAAAGAGTAAATAAAAGTTAATTACTATATAGATAATTCTAGTTAATTTTTCTATTTAACAAGATTTTGAGGGAATTGAAAAATCGAATTGATTCGATTGAGACATAAATTTTCCCTGAGTATAAAAGACGAAAATTTGAAAAACGAAAATATTGGCAAATTGCAAAGAAGAAAATAATTTTCTATAAAGAAATATTTTAAACGGCACGTAATTTTCCCAGAATGGAAATAAAAAAAAACTATCACAAACGATTTTTATGAAACAAGAAAAATTTTCTATTTACAGACTTCCTGTACCATGGACCAGAATCTAGCACGTCTACAGAACCCTCACCGGTTTTTGAGAGAAAATCGTTTCCTGGAAGGGGACGACCCAAGTAAGCGCAACTTTCTAAAATCTTGGCATTTTTTTACCACAGTAGTAAAAGTAAATTTTAGTCAGACAAAATTCTTTAACAGTGTTAATAATAGCAATTTTATGATTAATTTTTTAAAATTGTAATTTTAATTGTTAAAAATAGTAGTAAAGTTCAGTTTCAGTCAGACTTTTCGAATTGCGTTATATTTTTAATAATGAATCTCAGTAAATTTTAGTCAAATTATAATGCAACTTTTCTATTAGTAATAAAATAAAGTTATTGTCAGTCTTTTAAAATTCTACTATAAGTAGTAAAAGTAGATTTTAGTCAGACATGTTACTTAAAATGTTTGCAAAATTTTTTTTTTCAGTAATAGAAGACGATTGGAATTATTATATTTTCTAATTTCAGTATAGTCCTTTTTCTCTTCATATATCAAGAGCATAGAAAAATTTCAATTTGAAAGATTATTATAGTTTCGTTATCAGTAGTAAAAAGTCAGTTTTAATAAGACTTTTTAAATTGTTATATAAAGAATAAAAGTATTCTACTGTTTTATTCTGAATATAATAATCACAAATATAAATAATGCTGAATTCTGTTAAATTATAGTAATTTTTCTATTGGTAGTAGAATACAGTTTTTGTCCATCCTTTCAAATTCTCACGTCAGTAGTAAATGGAAATTTTACTCAAATTAAGAGATTATTTAAATTTTTCATTATTTTCTCTTTAATTACTTTTTTCCAATGTCAGTAGTAGAAATGTTTTAATCAGACAGAGTTTTGTCAAATCAGGCTTTTAACATTTTTAAAAACTGAATACCAGAAATAAAAATAATTTTCAAACAGGAAGTATTATCAGATTTCAAATCAGTAAATAGTCACTTTCAGTTCGTCTTACAAAAATAATTATAATTTTCATAAGCAGGAAAAATGAATTTTAGTTCCAAAAAAAATTTGTTTAAAATAATAATTTTGTTTTTTAATAATTAAATCGTGAATTTCAAAAAGAGCTCAACTCTGAAAACCGAAATTAGTAGAAATAGTCACTTTCAGTTCGACTTATAAAAGTATTTCAGAATTGAGTCCTTTTACAAATTCAAAAATTCACTTTTTTAATTATTTTTTAATTAGATTAAAATAATTTTTGCAACTTAAAATGATTAAAAAATAAAAATTCCCCCCAGGATGTTACAGTTGGCGCGTTATACCGGCGAGGAGGCCCGGTCAATCTTCGGGCTCCACGGGTCTGGCCATTCCCGGCACCAGTCGGGCTCTGTCTTCCGGGAGCACCAGCAGCAGGAGCGCGACGGACCGGGACACTTGTTCATCCCCAAATTGGATCCACCCTCGGGTTTCTCCGACCCGCATGAATTAAGTGAAGCTGAATGCGATCTAGATAGAGGGCGAGGTCAACGAAATCTTCGTGACTTTATTATCGCGGTGTAAATATTTAAAAAAAGAGAGAGAGAGAGAGAGAGAAACAGAAGAAAAAAAAATGAAAATCATTGTAAGCGTGTTTTATCATCAAATTTTTATCACTGAATTTAATGGATTTTATCATTTCGAATTACATCGATAAATGCAGATAAATTCAAGACTCAAAACTGCCATTTATAATAAGTAAAAAGAAAAAAAAATCTGTCATCATATGTTGTATACTTGTGTGTACTTGAAAAACAAAAATTTCGGGATAATCGCGCGCCAAAAAAGTTGTCTTGTTGATATATCGTATACTTTATAATATATATGTACATTGTTTAATACGAGATTCGTACACTTATGTTTTAACAATTTTAGAGATTGTTTATATTCTATTTACTTTGTAAAATATACAAGAAAAAAAAATACGAATTGCGGTTTGGATATACATTTCGTTTTTATTTATTGAAAAATCTATTTCCTTTTTTACAATTTCTGCGTTTTGAAATTAAAAACACAATTAATTTACAATTAATTTTTATCGAACATTTCTTTTCAAAAAATGTTTATGTAGAAAAATCACAATTTTAAGTCTTTCAAAAAATAACTTATTTTGACATTAAATTTCCCTTTATTATTTAGTTTGAGAAAAATTTATATCTTTCCATAAAAAAACTTACTAATTAAGAAAAAAAAACTTACTAATTAAGAACTCCCTAAAATTAAGAATTTTCTAAAGAAAATACTAAACAATATTTTTTTATATTTTACAATATTTTTCTCTAACTGGGACAAATTTTTTTTTGTACAAAATTTGAAACCATTTTTAATACTTTTAAAAATAATATTTTTTCTTGTGCGCTATAACGATTGTCGACGTTTTGATTGAATCTATCAATAATACTTTTCATTTACAGTACAAAATTTTCGCTTTTGATTATAATTAACATTTTTATAGTTAAATATAATTGTATATAATTACAAATATATAATTATTTTATAAAATATAATATAGAAAATACGTATAAGAAACCTAATTTTCTTTTTTCTAATATTACTGTTTGGTTTTTCAAACTGTACAGTTAATTCATTTTGATGAATTATTTCTTATTGTAAAAATAGAAAGATAATACTATAGTAAACTTTTTTCATACAGAAAAAAAGTATTCTGTATAAAAGTTTTTCTAAATTTTTTTTTCTAAATCTATTTTTTATTATATCGAATTGTAAATTTTTCCGAATTATCTTACGAAATTATATAAGAGAATTACTGAAAAACTTTTATGCAATTGCAAAAATCGATAGTTAAACGAGTATTAAAATCTGATAAAAAATTAAATCGACAAATATACAAAGAAAAAAAAATTATTTGATGCAAGTTAATTAAGTGCCTTAATTAATAAAAGCAAGTCTATTATCAAACAAAAGTTAATTTGTAATAAATAATTTTTATTTAAATCAAATAGTATTTGCTTCAAATATTTTTTACTTACGTTTTTCTTTACTTCAATTTATTTATTCAATTAATTTTATTGATTTATTTTAACTCTTTTACTAGAATTTCACTTATTTTTATTTTTCTTATCTTTCTATTTTCATTTTATTTACTATTAATTTAGTTGATTTATTTTTATTTAACTTATTAAAGAAAGAATTATTCGTTCAAATAAAATTTGATTTAAATAGAATTTTTCACTGAAGTATATATTTGATAATAGACAAAAAATCGTTTTTTGAATCAAATAAATTTTTTCTCATTGTATTTAATAATGAATATATAAAATGATTTCTTCGAAAAAAATGCGAAATATCCTTTTAAATTAATTTCATTTACCCTGAGACGAGAGATAAATATTTAAGTAGCATTCACACATTTTTAGTATCACACTCAATAGTTATATGATAGTTGATTTTATTTTTGTTCTTCAAATTATAATTTGATTCCATTCATTAAAAAAAATCAATCGAAACTTACTATTAATAACTTATCTATCATATAACTCGAATTTTTTTTATCAAAACAATAAAAAAAGTAACAATAAACTATTGTTAGTGAGCAATATGAATCATACTGACTGTAAGTAAAAAATAAATTAAAACTTTCTAATTGGTCGTGGAAGTTGACAAATAGCATTATGCACCGGCATTGACATCCAACCGGCTAAAGCAATTCCTATCGAATCAGCGAGTACAACAATCGAAAACGAAGTTTCACGATCTTCTGCAGGAATCTAAATTTAAAAATTGCACTTTCAATTATTTTATTTTAAATGTTTAAAAAAAATTATTTCCGCAAAAAATCTCTTTGAAAAAAAACTCTTAGGAAAAAATATATTTGGATAAAAAATCTCTTTCGAAAAAAATCGAAATCGTTTCAAAAGACAATAGAAAAATATTTCTTTGAAACCAAAATTTCTTCAGAGAAAAAATCTCCTTAGAAAAATATTAAAACAGTTTAATGCAAAAATTTAAAAGAAATGAAAAATTTTAACTAAATAATTGAAAGAAAAAATTATTATTCACTAATGATGAATATTTACACACCTGTCTTGAGATTTTGTAAAAAGTATTCACATATGCTCCACCACCTAAAAGTCCTTCCCACAAAACAATAGAAAAAACAATCCAAAAACTAGGCATATAATAGTATATGGATTCAAAAAGTAGAATAATCACGTTTATGAACTGAAAAAATAATAAATCCTTAGTCAACTATTTTCTATTATTAAAAATATAAACACTAATAAAATATTTTATACCAAAATTAGAAGCAAAGAAAAACTATCAAAAATTCACTAGTAAAATTCTTAACTGAAATCGAAATTTTCAGCATTAATAAAATATTTGTTTTTGCTAAAAAAAAATTTAATGATAAGAGACAAAAAAATTTCATTTCATCATTTTAGAGTCAACAAAATATGTTATCTACTTCATTATATACCTGTAAAACAGACATGATCCAAATTTTATTAAAAGTAAATAATACTGCTGATGATCTGGATATAAAAACACCAATTTGATAGTCAACCTGAAGCCATCGATACTGATCACTGGGACCCAACCACGAAATATTGTTAAACTCGATCAGTTCAAACTGTGGAGAAATAAATAAGTAGAAAAAATCTCTTTCGAAAAAAATAATAATAGCAAAAGTCGAAATCGTTTCACAAATCAATAGGAAAAAATCTCTTTGAAATCAAAATCTCTTCAGAAAAAAATCACCTTGAAAAAAATCACCTTGAAAAAAATCTCTATGGAATAAAAATCTCTTTAGAAAAAATCGAAATCATTTCATAAATCAGTACAATAAAATTTCCTTGAAATAAAAATCTATTTAGAAAAAAAATCACTGGAAAAAATCGAAATCATCTGATAAATCAGTAGAAAAAATCTCTTTAGAGAAAAACATCTCTTCCGAAAAAAATCGAAATCGTTTCATAAAACAGAAGAAAACAATCACTTTTAAAAGAAATCTCTTTAGAAAAAAATAAAAATCATTGCATGCAAATATTGCAAATACAAAAACCCAAAAAATTCGAACCAAATAATTAAAAGAATAAATTACCAAGCCTTGATTGATAAAGTATTCGAGCAAGTAGACTAAACCAAGAGGCAACATATATTTCAGCAAAGTCGGCACCAAACGTAATTTTTCCTTCAAACTCTTTTCCTGAACTTTAATTATTTGCTCTCGACTTCCAATACCACTTTTGTCTGACTGTACTGTTTCCTTCGGTATTTCTAAAATAATCCAAAATGCAATTCCCTCTAAAAATGGAATTATCAGCATTAATAAGAGTGTTTGTTTCGTGGACAACCAAATTTTCAGACATGCATACGAAACAGCACCAAATATTCCTGCACCCCCAGTTCCTGACGACCAGCAAGTTATCACATGTCTAAAAATTAATATTTTCACATTAAAATTATATTGCGAAAAAGAAAAAAAAATAATATTCATTAAAAATTAATTGTTCTTTACTTATTGAATCGATTGCAATAAGCAATTAATGTTAGTTCTCCTAATCCAGAAGAAATTGACGTGAGAACAATTCCCAATATTATAATTATGCTCGTTTCACCCAAGCCGACCAATAGGAAACCGGCAATTGAACACAATATACAGGCAAGAACGCGAGTACTGAAAAATTTTATTAATTACCCACTGCACAAAAATATGTAATGTTAATTGGATAATTATAATTCTGCTTCTCACTCTGATTCTGCATCTAATTCTAATTCTACTTCTAATTCTAATTCTGCATCTACTTCTAATTCTGCTTCCAATTCTAATTCAACTTTCAATTTTCATTCTAATTCTAAATTTGCTTCTAATTCTAATTCTGCTTTTAATTTTAATTCCAATTCTAATTCTAATTCTGCTTCTAATTATAATTCAGTTTTTAATTTTAATTCTAATTATGCATCTAATTCTAATTCAGCTTCTACTTCTAATTCTGCTTTTAATTTGAATTCCAATTCTAATTCTACTTCTAATTATAATTCAGTTTTTAATTTTAATTCTAATTATGCATCTAATTTTAATTCAGCTTCTAATTCTAATTCTAATTCTGCTTCTAATTTTACTTCTAATTATAATTCTGCTTTTAATTCTAATTCTGCTTCCAATTCTAATTCTAATTAGATAATAATCTAATTCTAATTTTGATTCTAATTATAATTCTGCTTTTAATTTTAATTCCAATTCCAATTCTAATTCTAATTCTGCCTCTACTTCTAATTATAATTCAGCTTTTAATTTTATTTCTAATTATGCATCTAATTCTAATTCAGCTTCTAATTCTAATTCACCTTTAAATTAAAATTCTAATTCTAATTCTGCTTCTAATTCTAATTCTGCTTTTAATTCTAATTTTGCGTCTAATTCTGATTCTGCTTTTAATTCTACTTTTTTACATAACAAAATAAAATAGATTTTCTCAAAATTTTCCTTTATTTCCAAATCGAAATAAAACGTTTCGTTCTATTTTATGAGTCAATAAAAAATTTGAAAGTAAACAAATGGAAAATTTGTCTTCTGAATTTACTTTTGAAAATTACTTCCTGAAACATAAGACTCACATGCTTCAAAACTAATTGGAAAAATTATCTAAAGGAAACTATAATACACAACTAATTATACATTTAAGTTTCTTTAAAATATACAAAAATTAATTGTCAACATTCTGAAAATATTTGGGCTCTTTTAAACTGACTAAATATGACAAGTCAGAATTTAATTATACAAAAAAGATATTTTAATTTAATTTAATTTGCTATTAATTTACTTTAATTTATTTTAATTAAATTTTATGAATTCACTTTTCTTTTATTAATTTTTTTATTTATTTATCTACTTATAGACGGGCCAATCTCGTCAAATTAAATTTTAATTTAATTAAATTTATTTTTTAACTCATGAGTGAATTTTTTTTAGCAATATAATAATAATAATAATAAAGTTGCAAACAAGGTTAAAAGAATACTTACTTAACAAAGTATGGCACAAATGGAAAAATTAACTTAACTATCAAACATGGTAATATATCAGCTAAAAGTATAGCTCCAGTTGAGATAGTATTGCAGTGCCTATACGTTTCACTTGTGCTATTATCCCATGTATTTTTTGGCGGTTCATCATTTTTGTGCTATTGAAAAAAAAAAATTTGAACGAAAAATTAATTTTCAACATAAATTATTTTTTTATATTATCAAAAATTTAACAAACATTCAATATTGTATTGAAAATATAAGCACTTTAGTCTAAGATTTATTATTTACTCTAATTTAAAAAACTTTATTTACTATTCTTTAAAAAATATTTCTATATCTCTAGAAAATTTTCCAATAATCGTTTACTTGCCTTTAATAAATATTTTTTGCTACAAATAATTAATGAATTAATTAAAAATTTCCTTCAAGTACAAAAATGATTGGTTGAACAGAAATTTCATTTATTAAAACTGGAAACTTGTGTAATTTTCTTTTTTTAATTTAATACTTTTTCATTTTTCATCTTTATTAAATTTTTAATTATTTACATTATTTAATATAATTTTTCATTTCATATTTATTTACTTCATTTATTACATTATTTATTAATTTTTCACTTCCTTCCGCATAGCATTGTTTAAAATTTAATTACTTTTTTATATTTATTCTCAAATATTTTGGTATTTATTTAATAATTTTTTATATATTTATTAAACCATTAGTCTACCAACGAAGTATTTCAATCAAATAAACTTTTTCTTCAAGTTTTATATTTTTTTTTCACATGATCCCTGAGATTAGTGATTATTAGAAATTAACATTCCTTAGATAGTGAAATAATGTGACTATATGAATGTCTATCAGACACAATAAGATTTTTATCATCAAAAAATTTCAAAAATTCTTTTTTTCAGTTACTTTTTTTCTCATTGAAAATAAATTATGCAATAAAAATAATATTATCCTTCAAAAATGTATCCATGACCCAACCATTTTGCAAACAGTTACAAGTAAAACTCTCGATGAATATTAATTACCTCACTATATAGATTTATGTTCAACATTACGAAAAACTAAACAAAACTCATTTTTTAAATTTAAAATGAAACCATAAAAATTCTTTTCTAAACTATAAAAAAATATTTCTTTTTAGATTTAAACAAATTTTTTTAATTTTTATAAACAACATTTTTGTAAGTGGAAAAAATTAAAAAGAATTTTTCAAAAATTGTTAAAACCAAAAAAAGAACCAAAAACAACAATGAAAAAAATTTATTTGATTCAAATAAACGATTACTTGCCTATTATCAAATAAATATTTGTTTGTATCAAATAAATATTTATTTGTTTCAAATAAATATTTATTTATATCAAATGAATATTTTTTTGAGTCAATTAAATAGTAGGGGAATGTAGTCAAGGTTGGCCTACTGTCTAGGTAGGACACTCGCGTTTTTTTGTCAAGTTCACTAGCACCACCTACGCGCATTTTTGTCGAAGCTTGTCTTAGTGAAACCTAACTTTTTGTTCAATTACATTTTCGGAAAATCGAAAATTGTGTTTTCTGTGACGTCGGTACAAAAAAAGCTCAAAAAAAGTTTTGTGCATAATGTGAAAAACCATTAATAAAAGATAAAAAACAAATTGAATCGTCAAGGCAAGTATGCAGAAAATTTGTGGGACTCATGGTTGAAAGGAAAACAAAGTAGAAAATCGAATCCCGAAACGTATTTCTTTATGGTTACAACAATTCGGTAATGTTACTTACTGTCAAGGTCGGCCACTATGTGTTTAAAATGCGCAAAGTTGAGGACGAGCTACTTCATTTGCAAAAACTGCAATTCTGTATAACTCATAATATAATTGATCATCTTATTAATATTTTTATTTAATTTTATTAATATTTTAGTGCAAAACTTTTTTTTATTTATATTTATTTTTTTATATTGTTTATTGTTATTATTTTGTTATTTCATTAAGTTACAAACTGTAAACAATAAAGAATCAATTTTCCGTAACTCCAAACATGTTATTTTATTTTTTAACGATTAATGCCCTTTGAATTTTAAACATGGCCGACCTTGACTGTAATGGCCAACCTGGACTACAAAATTTTTTTTTTTTAAATCTTTATAACTTTTTCATTTTTAAACCTGTCAATTTACTTTGTACAGAAAAAATGTTCCTATTAAACAGGACTTTCCAACCATATACTTCAATTGTCCAAATTCATTTTTAAAAAAAAGTTATAAACAAAAGTCAAAAAGGTGGCCGACCTAGACTATGTTCCCCTATTTTTATCATATACTGAAATCAATAATTAATTTTGATTCAAACATAGTTTATTTGAATTAAATCAAAATTATGTGAATTAATTAAATATTTATTTGATATTACACAAGTAATCGGTTATTTAAAACGAATAAATTTTTTTTTCAGCGAATAATACAAAAATAAAAATAAAATAACCACCAAGAAAACTTACATCAAATCGTTCTCTGAGAATATCGTGAGCAGCACTGAGCATAACAACGTATCCATAATTATTGCACAATCCCAAAATCCAAAATGCCACCAAATTTCTTATTTTATTCGCTTTCTCCCCATCATTTCTTTCCACGTCTTTTATATCCGACAATTTCAATTCACCTTTAGCCATCACAAAAAATAATTACTCTAAAAAAAGAAAATAGTTATTCTAGAAAGAAAAACAAATTTTTGTACTCTTTTTAAAATATTGGGAAAATTTTTATTATGATTTTTCTGTTTATAATTTTCCATATAAAAAGAAATATTTTCAAACAATCGCGAGACCTGCTTGTTTGTAAATGTTCGCGCGATAACTACCGATAAAATAAGACAATACACGTTTAATATTTAAAAGCTGTCAATCTAAAGAAGAAAAAAAATTTTAATATATTTGCATGTTCATTATTATTTACAAAAAAAAAACATTGTGTCGTAAACACTTTTTTTAACTATTATTTTTAATTTAATTGTATAAAATAATATGAAAGTCATAAAAATAACAATAATAATAATAGCAACGGTAACAATTAGAATAAAAATAATAATAATAATAATAATAATAAATTATTATTATTATTTTTATTATTAATTGAATAATAATGACTATATTAAGAAAAGCCATAATAATTATTGTTATATTTAAATATTAATTATTAGAATTGTATTAATTATTATTATAATTATAAAAATTATTTTTATCAGCACACGAATCAAATTTATATTTATATTCCCATTTCATTAACACTTACAATAATTTCTAGTTATACCTTGATATTTATTTTATTAAATACTTATCTTATTTGACAATGAAAATCAAGAGAAAAAAAGGAAAATAAAGGAAACTTACATTTTCTCAATAACTCGTTTCGAAAATCCTGTATTTAATAAATCACTGATTTTGTGTTGATTCAATAATCACTTCGTGGAAAATTATTCATATCTTCTTTTTCTTGAATTTTCTATACGAATTCATTCGCTTCGTTTAGCGAGAACGATTGTCACAATACGAAGGTAACAAGTAAACTGAAGGCAAATGACGGGAATGTTAATGAACACCGCTGATACAATTTACGTGGGACTCTTAATGTACAAATTGCTAATGAACTTTTAATAGATATTTCTTTCAAATTTTTAAATCTCCTTTTTTTCATATGTGTAACAGAAAAAAAAATGTTAAAATTGTTACAAAAAAATGAAAAAAAAAAAAATAATAAAGAACGATGTTGTAACCTGCAGATAAGAAGAAATAATAATTATTTGGAGGCTCGTCTTTTATTAACCAATCAACGCTTGAGCCGGAAGCACGTGCCTCTATTTTCTATTGGTTGTATTCAGAGTATAAATTGACAAGTGGATTGTCATTTTATTTGAATTAACTTGAGATATCTCTTCAAGTAAATAAAATAATTAAAAATTTTATCTTATTTTAATATATTCTTAATTAAAATGATGAGAAAAATACTTGTTTTATTCCCTGTTGTTTGAGGAAAATTTCCTTTTTTATTATTTTCTCGTAAACAAAACTTGTTTCGTTAAAAAAAAAAATTCAAAAAAACAAAAAAATATTTTATCATTATTAAATACACCTGTTATAAAATGAAGCAATATATTTGTTAAATAAAAAAAGTGACAAAGAACTTATTTCGATGATTTTAATTTTTATCTATTATTGACATATCCCAAAAGATTTTTGTTGCAAAAGTTAATTTTTTTGTGCACGCATTTTATTGGCCAAAAATTAATTTATTAAAAAATACTATAAAATTCAGTACCCTAAATAAATTATCATTTAATTTACAGTAAATTGTTAATTTTCTTGGCACGTATTTTATTGACTAACGAAAACTAATGAATGCTTTAAAAAAATTAAAAACCTTAAATTTAAAAAATTTGAGTTAATTTTCAATGCTATATTTAAATTTAATATTATTTAAACTTTAAAGTCAATTTTATATTTACAGTTTCATTTTTTTTTCTAAATAAATTAAATTTTAATTGAAATTTTATCACGTTATTGAGCGTGATAACAATAATAATAATCGTTTAACATCATACGATATTAAAACGCATCAATTTATGATCAATTGAAAGAAAATGGAGTCGTCGTCATCATCATCATATCATAGAATAAAATATCTATTTCCAGAATCTTGAATCGAACGATTCTCTAATGTTAAAGGTTTCATTTTAAAATACCAATCGCCTGATAATATTTTCCCCCAGATTACCTCCAGAAGTTTCAATCTTAATTATCTTGATATGAAGAGTTAACTTTCAGCCCTCTGTTTAATCAGAATTTATTAAAGTTCATTCAAAAAATAAAAAAAGAGAAAAGAAAACTTATTTTAATTTACGTGTAGACAATAATAATTGCGGATAATAGTAAATATTGCTTCTCGATTAATTAATTGCGACATGAGCCGTAAATGAAAACGTTTTAAAACAATTAATTTTTTTTTCTGTAAATTACCCAACAGAGGATAATTAAAAACAAAAAAAAGGAATAAAAAAAAAGGTTGATTGACTTTAATCAACTGTATCAACTCTATTAATGTTCATTTAATAAAATAAAATTTTTTTATTACTGTATGAAAATTATTAAAGTTTAAAATAAGTAACTAATAATAATCAACTTTAATAAAATAACTAAAACCATTTTTGACAATTAATTTCTTAATAATTAATATTTCTAAATTCTAATACATTTTTACGTCAGTAAAGTTTATAAAGTTTATGTTCAACGATTATAAGAAAAAAAGTATTTTTCCACAAGGAAAACAATGGAAATATTTGTTTATACTTTTTTTTTACTTTGATTTTAATTATTAATGAGATGAATATTTTGCTTTGAAACTATAAACTTCAATTAAAAACTAAAATTAAATTAAATTATCGAACTTCATAATTCATTTTTAATGAATTTCAATTTAAATAATTTCAGTTAACCTAAATCAACGTAAATTTATAATTAACTCACAAAATTAAAAATTACCATTTTACCCAATTACTTAATAAACTGAATCTATTTCTTCAAAATCCGAGGTAAAAAAATTTACGAATAATTTAAATTACACTAATTACGTTAAACTATGTGAATAAAATTTCACGCTATCAATTTTCAAATCAATGATATTAATTTTAGACACTGATAAAATTCAAGTTTAAAATCTTATCTTTTCCATCTACTGTACACTAATTGAAAAGGTCAGAAGAACAAAAGTAAATCTATTCATACAAATTCTTTTGCACAGTTTACAATACAATTCCCAAAATAAATATTTCTATAGGTCTGAGAGAGAGAATATTTTGTCATAATCGATTTCCATGGTTCTCGAGAAAAATATATCGTCATCTCATTAAGAAAACAATGGGTTCTTAAATATTTTAAACTAAACAACTCATTTTCAACAAAAATTAATTATTTTTTAATTATTTTCATTTTAATTTTCTTTACTCCGAAAACAAGAACTCAAGTTTGTGAAAATCTTTTAATTTTTAAAAAACTTAATTATATATGTGAAAAATGTAATTAACTCACATGAAAATATATAATTGACTGGTGCTATTAAATATTAAAAAATTATTTAAATTATATGAAAAAAATGTCTAGAAAATTGTAAAATTCCAAATTTAAATAAAAATGCGCCTTTTTTATCCGTTTCCATTTTTTAAAGAAAAATGTGACATGGATAAAAATTTTAACGAAAACATGACCGTATGGAAATTACACGTGAACAAAACTAAGGTAAGAAGTATTAAATTTGCAATTAATTTAGATTAGATAAATTAAAAATTCAAATAGGCGATTGTGACTATCAAGTGAAGATAAAAAGGATTTCTTCTTCACTCAGTACATCAGTCGATATACGAATTTGAAAAGAAATCATTGAAAAGATTCATAAAAATTAAACTTTGTAATTTATATAACAAAGTTATGCTAAATATTAATAAACTCGATGTTTATATTAACTATTTAAATAATTTTTAATTATTTATTCAAGTCGCAAGTTTATATTAATACTAAATAATATTATATTATTCTAAAATAATAACAAAAAACTAACAAAATAGTAAATAATATTAAAAAATTGTATACTAAAATAATGATAAAAAAAATTGTTGCAAAATTTTTCAAAAAACGTTAATGCAAAAAGTCATTTTATCGATTATAAGTAACAAAAATTTCAAATGATACTACAGTGTAAGTCGACAGTGGGTAATATATCGACAAGTATTAATTAAAATTTTCCCAACATTTTTTTAAATAATTCCAATGTTCTGTTAAACAAAAACACTTAAAAGATTTTTAATAAGCAAAAAATACTCGAAATGAAAATTTCCAAAATTAACTTTAAAAAAAATTGTCAACCGGTGAAAATAATTATAAAAAGAGTAAAAATAATTTTAAAAAATAAAAAGAAATTCTCTTTAAAAAATTATAAAACAATTTTTTATAAATAAATTCTTTTTTTACAAATTTTTTTAACTTGTTTCTTTTTTGCAAAAAAATGCAATTCTCTTAAAATTTACATCAGCCAAAGAAATTAAAAGACATGGAAGAAAAACTAAAAACCACTATTATTTCAATCTTAAAATATAAAAAAAAAACATGCCAGTATTAATATTAAAAAAAATTCTATGTACAGAAATACCTTCAAGTATTTATACACCACAATAAAAAAACCAACAAAAATTTTCACACAATTTTACCCAAAAGCGTACATAAAATAAATTAACAATTCCAATAATTCTCACCTGAATTCTTGAAAATTAAATTACAAAAATTAGAGAAACGCCGAAAAATTAGTTAAAAATAAAAATTTTTAATTTAGACTATTTTTCCATGATATATTTGATTATTTGCACGCGTTTACAACGTGTGTACACAAGACTAAACACTCTTAAAATAAGGTATTCTTCTCTTCTTACTCAGCGAACGACCAACAGAGGGAAGCAGTTACTTTCAGCAGAAATTTATTCCCCAATTTTCTACTCCCATAAAAACACTCAGGCTTCTTCAGCTCACCTGATAAAATTGCTTCACTTTAGTGCTCCACAATTCCACATTCCTCAATAACTACCTTCAAATTATTATTCGAGTCAAAAAATATTCAACGGCAGAAATTATTCGCACAATTATCCTTCATTTTATGTAAAACAATTTTTTTTTTATTTATTTATGGGTTAATTTCTATTTTTATTTATGCAAAACATTTTCTTTATTTAATTGTCTTCAGTTTCTATTTATATTTATTAGAAACATTTTTTTTACTTATTTATTTTTAATCTCTAATATTTTTATCTATTTATTTTTATTTCCAGTTATTTATTATTTATTGAATTTTATTCCCAGATAATTTTTATTTATTTATGGAATTTTATTTTTAGTTATTTTTATTTATTTATTGAATTTTATTTCTATTTATTTATTTTCATTATCATTTTTCTACTTATAGATTATTTTTTAATATTAATATATTCACTCTAAGAAACTTCTAACTACTTTTTTGTTTTTTCCTTCTGCTCTATAATTTATCTAATATTTTATTTTTTTATTCAATTTTTTTTATTTTTTCTATGATTTATAGTTATTTTATTGTTTATTTAACATTTTTTTAATTCATTATTCATTCATTAAATAATTAATTACTTTCCTCTACTAATAATATCTTAATAAAACCTTGGAAAAAAATTTCATTTACGGGGATTCGAACCTTTGCAACTGCCTTGAAACTAGTGCAATGCTTTAACGCATTCAGCTACATCCTAGTGATTTATTTCAGATATAATTTTCTGCACTAAAAGTGGAACTCTTTTTTTAATGTTCATTTAAAGATGCTTTAACAACATGGATCATAAGCGACTGTTAATAATTAATATTAACAATTAGGAAATGAATTCTAATCCTAATATAAAATTTTATACTTGTTACTAATTGTTGATAATTTTATTATTGTAAATAAATTTACGACTGAATAAAACAGGAAATAATTAAAAACAAAAATTAAGAAATTAAATTACTATTTAATAATTTTATTATTAATAACATTAATCTTAATATATACTGAAATCTGATTAAAATAAATAAATAAATAAATATTGTCATTAAATTGTTATCGTTATTAAATATTAAATATTATTCATCATTATTATTAATTATTATTGTTAATTATTATTTATAACATTAAAATAAAATAATT